TGTTTTACACCTTTTAGACTTTTCCATGGTGAGGGTAATTGAACATAAAATAATTAGCTTCTGTAATTCTAATGAAGATAATGTCAGCAATGTAGTTAAGATTTCTGGTTAGTTTATCATAAATGCAAACTCTTATGATCACTTATGTCATGCTCTAAATTAATCAGATGGGACACCTGCTTTCCCTTAAGGTGTTCATATATTGTGATTAAATAGAAAAGCATATGCCTGAGGGAAAACTTGCTGGCCTACTAACCTATATTTGGGAGTCATGTTCATTGATGAGCTTAAAAATCCCTTGATAGCCAACAATAATCTGCATTTTTTCCAAATGTTCTGACAGGTCAGTTTCCTGTCATCTGTTTGGTGCTCTGGCTATGTGCTGCTCGTGTCACTCCTCACAGGCCACACGTATACACTGGTCTAGGATGCTGCCACTCCCCACGTCTGCCCCGATAACCGTTTCTGTCTCAATGGTAGTTCCTGTTAATACTACAAAAATGGAAATCGTCAGTGTGGGCAGGCTGCCGTATGGAGGTTCAGTCAGATTAAGACAAATGCACATAGGCAATGTGAGCACCAAAAAAATAACAATTCAGAAGAAAACTTTGTTGTTTGCGATTGGTATCTTTTCCAGAATTTTTAGAAATAGAGTATCTGTTTTAAAGATTGTTTTGTAAGCAGGTACACTTGAGCTGGTATTGACATGAAGCAAACCAAAAAAGAGTAGTTAAAGTAACCTTTAAAACGTTGTCTTTCCAATGTTGACGCTTGGCCTCTGGTGTTTAATTTAACATGACTCATTCTCCCCCATCCCACCTCGGATGTAGAACACCTCCGCAAGGTGTCTTTCAAAATAACAAATGAAGACCCTTACTTTGTGAAAAGGGAAATAATGTTGAACAAATTGTAAAAATGTGTTTTAAAAGACTGCATAACATGCCAAGAAAAAAGAACAGAATTTTCCAACCCACTGAAAGATAGCACACCACCATCAATAGCCAAGCTCATGAATAAATAAATATTTACAACATATACATATGCATATCAAGGCGAGGCTACACTACAGGAACTCAGAATCTGTGGAAAACATTTATGCAATGCACATGCAGTAGCAAACAGAGGCACTAAAAAGGAAATAATTTTCAAGCACGGTCAACACGTTTAAAGTTTTTCAGTAACTTAACTGGCCTTTCCAAAACACACAGAATTCTTTTAACAATATGAAATATGTTGCTATGATTGCTTCTTCCTGAACTTAACTCAGTCATATCCTCATCACACAGCAGAGCTAGCAAATTTCTAGCTGAGCTAGTTAAAGTACATTGGAAAAAGTGGTCATATGTTCAAAGACGAAACATTTCAGACTTGATTTACAAATGGAATCAAATGCATCTGTATTCAAAGCTGTGTGGAATGAATACATGCTTAGGAACACACACAAGCATTTTAAATAAACCTTTCTGAATAGGTTAACAACTTTGCTAAAATCTTGCAGCTATCTTTCTCACGGGTAACTACAGCTCCAAAGATTACTGCTTAAGTTCAACATAGGAAATTAAACTTTGACATGCTATAGGTACTGACCATATGTAAGAAATACGAGTTAACACTCCTGACATCAATAACACCATACATCTCTAGATCCTAAGATACTAAAGGCCAGCATGCAGGCTAACATAAATAACAGCTTGCGGTTTGCAAGAAAAAGAATCCATTGATAACATTAGGAAATATAGTAATGTGATGGTATAATTTACAAGGCCTGAAGATAATTTGCAGCACCATTCCTCTGGGTGGATCTGCACCAATCAACTAAGCTAAGTGCCTGTTGGAACTTTTCCCTCAAAGGTACAGTAGGCAGAAGATTTATAATATATTTAATGCCACAAAAGGAGAAGCAGAAAGATCAAACTGATGGGGCTTGGATATTTAGAAAATCCCGCTGAGATACTGTGGTACATTTTTAAAACTTCTTGTTCATAATGTTCATGCTTCTCTTGAACCTCAGATGATAAACACTGACAGGAAAGAAATGGTAGGGGAGACCCACAAAACATTTTTACAGCTAAGATAAAAACATTAGGTAAAAATAATGCTTCTGCAAAGCAAAATCCTCAGATATATCTCCCATCAAGATTTTTCTCCAAATATACAAACAGTGTCCAGAAAGTCTCTCATGGGATATGTCTGCAGCACCATTCTGGCTTACAGCATTCACAGAAAACATACCTTGATAACTTGTGTTTATATAAACAAATGGCATTCGGGGAAGCAGAACCAACTGAACTTTACAGAAAGGTTGATTCAAAGTCTCAAAAATTCTCTCCCATCTCATGATAATTTTTCAACAGCAGAAGAAAATGTATTACAACACTTCAAAGTATGGAAAGGCTTTTTCTCATTCAGCAGACTTTTTTCCAATAAAGTTAATGCAATTTATCTTTATTAACATATCAACACTGATAGAGTCAGCCAGAAAATTAGTGTTGGTGGCACTGCATTTCATAACATGCCCTTTCTCGGACATCCCTCTGATCATTTCACAAAATCTGCCAACAATTCAGGGATCTAACATATTCAGAACCCATTTCTTTTTAAAATACTGCAGCTTCCGAAGGAGAACACATATATTCTTGCACTAGAGCAGCATGCATCTGCTCTTATAGTCTCCCTGCTGGAAACGATCATTGTAATGCTTTGAAAGCCCAGGAAACCAAACATTGCAAAAACATATTGATATCGAGTACAGAGAAAATTCTTCTTTCTAGCTACCTGCAACACAGATCCCCTTTCCTGAAATAAACCTGATTTCAAACAGCAGCAGCTCCTTCACCCTCAGCTGTCCTTAAGTTAGCATTAACTGGCCTTGATAACTCCATTTAGATCTTTAACACAAAACTTTCATCACTCACCCCCCTTCCAAGGTTTTCCTTTCCAGGGGGTCCGGGTCAGCTTGCTCAGAGTTGGTCCAGAGAAGAACAGGATCAAAAGGAAGAGAAGTTCAAGCCTAGTAATTTTCTCCACTTTCTCTGATGATAACATTTCCACAAGCTAATTTCACAAAATTCCTCACATCCTCTTCCCTCCTGGTTATGAAAATAGCATTAATCATTGAAAAACCTGAGGTAGGTGTTGTTTTGCCATCTTTAACAGCTGAAGTAGCAGCTTCCTGATGTAGCCCTGAGCCAAGCTACATTTCTCACGGATCCAGCTCCTTCTCCTCAGTACGCAGTCAGCCCTGCTTCTACTCCAGAAGCTATAAAATAATTCTGTTCTCCACTTTGCTTTCAGTGGGAATATATTCCTCAGCGTTCTGGGTGAGCTTGATTGAAAATGATAAAAACAGTAGTGTCTGTGTCCAGCAGAAAAGGGAAAAGATGTCAGGATTATGTGCAGAAGATGAGAAGCAGTTGTACTGACAGCTTTCAGGCTGCCTGTGTGATCCTAATAGCTGTGCAACCAACCAAATTGCTCTTTTAAGAGTAATAAGGTTTCAGTGAAAGCCGGTGTCACCGCCACTTGGGTGGGTAGTGCTGGGCTTGAAAACCACCCAGGAACCGCCACAGATAACGACTGCTTCAGTTCAGCTTCAGAATATTAAGGGCTGAGCAAAATATAGTATGCACAGAGGGTAGTTAATCTATTGTGTGGATAGACGAGGATTCGGGCAATGTAGCACAGAAAGATTCAGAACTTAAAATGTGTTTTATTTTTTCTTTACTTCACCTCGTGACATTCAAAGGGGATTGCATCTGCACTAATGATTCATAAATGGGTCTGAAATATTTATTAGATGAACAACAGTAAGTATATAATTTTTCTCCCCAGCAATAAAACAGGAAGGGCAAGTTCTCAATATGTAGCTGCAGCTCTCTTCTGTATTAAATGAAGTCAGTTTGCTTTGGCATTCCTGAGTCACCCCAATGAACCCACCATGAATGCCACAAGCAAACTTCTGGAAAGACCAACATAGACCGCCAAGGCTTTCTTGAATGTGTTAATCACACATTCAAGAAAGCACATTTTTGTTTGTTTGTGTACATCACCATGGAAATACAAAGGCTCCCCAAGCCTTCCTGTCTTTTGCGACTATATTTGTGCAGACAATACTGGTCACAAGGTGTGGTTATCATTAACACATTGCCCCTGGATGAAGACGACGTGGGTGAAGGCGTACATAGAAAATCAACTAGTTTGGTTTTGTCTGGCACAGTGGCTCACATCTGTAATCCCAGCACTTTGGGAGGTCAAGGTGGGAGGATAGCTTGAACCCAGGAGTTTAATACCAGACTGGGCAACATAGTAAGACCCCCACCTCTACCAAAAAAACCCAAAAAATTATCCATGCATGGTGGTACATGCCTGTAGTCCCAGCTACTCAGGAGGCTGCGGCAAGAGGATCACTTAAGTCTGGGAGGTGGAGGCTGCAGTGAGTCATGGTCATGCCACTGCACTCCAGCCTGGGCGACAGAGCAAGACACTGTCTCAATAATAATAATTAATGAAAATAATAGAATCTTTACCACCTGAAGTGAATTGGCATGATCAAACCATTCTGGCTACTATTTTTAATCTGTCTACATGTTAGTATTATACATATGGTCACTTATTTCCTTAATCAGTGAGCCACAATACCTGAATTATGCACTTATGTATTTTAAAGTAATCAATTTCTATATTAGGATAACCACCAGTTTTATGATGTGATCATTTTCAAAAGGGAATAAATTACCACGTTCAAATCATACTCTTGGAAGAGGTACCTTTAGAAGAGAAAGTTACCTTGTTAAGCCATGTGATAAATTTGAAAATATAGTTATTACAATTTGCTTTTATAAAAAGGAAACAATGTTTGTCAAAAAAATGAATGGAACATACAAAATAAACTCTCAGATTGTGCCTTAATTTAGAAACAATAATAACCCTGTATTCAACTTTTCATCTGAAAACTTCTGTGTGAGGAAGGAAAAACGTATGCCCATTTTATAAATAGTGGATTTAAAATTCCATGTCTTTGCATACTTAAAAATGGGAAGCTGATATTTAACTCAGAATTTGATTTTCTTTTTCCAGTCACTATCCTGTTTGCCTGACCATTTCCTCTCTCTTTAAATGCAGGTAAACAGAAACCGGTAGAATAAATTGACCAGCTCCCTCACCACCACCCTCTGAGGAGGACTCTAGAACTAAAGCCATTTGCTTTCCACTGGCTCCATTCCTCTTCAAAGAAAGAGCACACATTTCATGATTAGCAGTTTTAAAAATGTCTTGGGCCTTTGGTAGAACAGAAAAAATGTCAAACAGGTTTGAATATAATGAAAGGGTGTGGGCAGAAATGTTGAATTTTTCTGAAAGGTCTGGCCAGAACAAGGTTACCAGGAAAATCATTCTTTCCTGAATATAGGGTAAAGCTGGTTCGATTCACTCCAAAAATATTTCACGTTTAGATTTCCAAGGTTTCTTTCCTTTCCAGTAATCCCTGGTAGACACCAGGCCATAGCTCTCTCTGATGGGGAAACTGAAATGGAATTGGAAGAACCAAGTCACTGCTGCTCAACGAGGGAAGTCACTGTCTTCCAGAATTCGTCTGGCAGAAGTTTGAGGTTCTGCATTACCAGAAGAGAGAAGAGAACGCCTCCTCAGATGGAAATAGGTGAGGGTAGCCAATGGAATAAATAAGGGTAGACTCTGAAGGAAAAGTGAAAAACTAAGTGGAGAGGCAGTCCAATGAGACATATATCTGTGGAAGTATGAGTTTAGAAATGCCTTCCCATCTACGTTAATCTTAATAACAAATTAGCTAACTTATTACAAGTTCTAAGCATTTTGCATCCATCAGCTCATTTAATCCTTACTAAAACACAATGAAGTAGGACTAATTCTTTTTCCTTTTCTTCTTTTTTTTTTTGAGACAGAGTCTCACTCTGTCGCCCAGGCTAGCGTGCAGTGACGCGATCTCAGCTCATTGCAAGCTCCGCTTCCTGGTGTCAAGTGATTCTTCTGCTTCGGCCTCTGAAGTAGCTGGGACTACAGGTGCCCGCCACCACGCCCAGCTAATTTTTGTATTTTTAGTAGTGATGAGGCTTCACCATATTGGCCATGCTGGTCTCGAACTTCTGACCTTGTGATCCGCTCACCCTGGCCCCCCAAAGTGCTGGGATTACAGGCGTGAGCCACCACACCTGGCCAAAGTTGGGATGATTCTTTCTTGCATTTAGCACAGTATAAACTGAGGCACAGAGCGTTTAAGTCCCGTGTCCAAGGTCATAGTGCTGTTTTGAATTCAAACCCCTCAGGTCCAAGCCTTTGCGAATCCCCATGTTAGGCCCGCTCCTAAACTGTTGTCTCTGCACCCTCAATCCTTCTGAGCTACCTTGCTCATAAGTAACATCTTAATATAAAAGAAGAGCAAATAGTGATAACATGCTGAATATATGTGAGGTTTTAAATGTTTCGATATTTTCTTCATTTTCACGAACTGGTGAGATGAGTCATTTATCATTCCTACTGTACATAGCCAAAGTCACATGGTGACTACCCAGCAGAGCTAGAGTTTGAATCCTGCATGGCCCCAGTTTTTGTTATTCTTCTCTTTTACTGAGTCTGGTGCATGGATCTTGGGAAACTGGAAAGGGTGTAAGCAAAGCTTGAAAGGTAAGAGCAATAGAGGGGTTTTGGGGTAGCTGTGGCTTGGAATCTTCTTTAGTTTACTGGCAGCAGCACGGAGGTCTATAAATGGGAAGGTATCAGAGAAGGTCCACCGAGAGAGGCAATCAGAATAAAATTCCTCGCCACCTACTTGTGCTCAAAGGAAAACATGAAGAAAAAGAAGGCCCTAGCAAGACCTGACTTACAGACAGTTACAATACAACATAATAAATGCTTTAATGCAGGCCATAAAGAATGGTTAGGAAGACTGCAGAGAAGGAGTACTATAAAGGAGGTATATATTAAAGTGAAGTTCAGTGAGAGAGAAGAGAAAGCTGTTTCAGCTAGGACATTCAGGGCAGAGAAGGTGGCTTTTTCACTAAGTATCAAATAATGAGAATATATTTTAAGACTAGGTCAAGTCAGGCAAGAGGCAGAGGATAATCCAGGCTGAGGAAATAGCATGAGCATGGTTACAGACAGGAATGAAAGGAACCCTGTCCCCTTCCAGTAACTGCAAGGAAAGCAGTGTGGCTGGGTGTGGAACCTATAGATGGGTAGCCAGAGATTAGGTAGCAGTGGTAGGCAGGGGCTAGATTAAAATGTTGAAGTGCATTAACCACCAAAGTCTTAGGCTTTATCCTCAATGGTAGGGGGTCAACAAGGGTTTAAATTAGGGAAATTACATGATCTGAAATGAGTTTAAAAAAATATTTGACTGCATTATGATGGGGAGTGAAATTAGAAGCAGGAAAAACCGCTTAAATGTGCAGTAGTCCAAGCAAGAAAACTTTGGAAACCGAACTGAAAGCAGCGGGAATAAATGGAGACTAATTTGAAATAAACTTTAAAGTTTATTGTCTATATTCCTTCACTTGAATAAACATTTAAAACCTATATGGTAAGCCAGGAATAATGCTAGGTATTTTAAGAATAATCAGACAAAGTCCCTGTTATCAAAATGCTTATATCCTTAAGAATTGAGTTACAAATTAAATACAAAGAATAATGGGATATTATTCCAGCGTTTAAGCTCTCTTCTTTAAATATGTCATTTGAAGTTTGATTTTGTCTGTCCTGCTAGCACTTGCTTCAACTTTGACACCATTAAGCAAGATTTAGGAATCTCCATAATAATATATATTCATTTTTATCCTAATACCATGATTTACTCTATTCTAATTATACCCCCTGACATTTTACTATTTATGCACAATAAATACCATCTTGCCTTTTATTTCTTTTCCTAATAAAGATAAAATTTTTACTAATCTCTGATACTAGGTAATAATGGCATAATGTGAGTTATGTCACTAGGCTTTTAATGATTGAATGTATATGAGATAAAACCTTCCCTAATGAGTTTACAAACAAAATTTGTCACCAAGCTTTCGAAAAAGAATACATCAAATTTTATATCATTATGTTGTTGTTTGTAATCTCACTGGTTATACTCACTTCATTAGATGAGGTTGAAGACTGAGCCAATCCATTTTCTGAAAATTCTGTGAGTTTGGTCACCAGGTACCTAGTAGGCTCTCAGTCAGGATCAATTTTAACCTCAAAAAGACATTTGGCAATGTCTGAAGGCATTTTGTGGTTGTCACACAAGGTTGAAAGAGTGCGACTGACATACCTTGTGGGTAGAGACCACGGATTCCGCTGCACACCCTGCGATGCACAGGGCAGGCCTCCCGACAAAGAATTATTGGAAGAAAATCTCCACAGGCTGAAGCTGAGAAACTCGGAGTAATCCTCAGCTTGTCTGATCACAAGGTGATGATTCCTTTTTTATTTTTTTCAAGGCGGAGTCTTGCTCTGTCACCCAGAGCACAACCTACCCTAAGCATTTCAGACCAATGAATAGAAGTGGGCAATTTGTTTTTTCTTTTTTCTTTTTTTTTGAGAAGGAGTCTCGCTCTGTCTCCCAGGCTGGACTGCAGTGGCGGGATCTCGGCTCACTGCAACCTCCGCCTCCCGAGTTCAAGCAATTCTCCTGCCTCTGCCTCCTGAATAGCTGGGATGACAGGCACCCGCCACCACACCCAGCTAATTTTTGTATTTTTAGTAGAGACGGGGTTTCACCATAGTGGCCAGGCTGGTCTCGAACTCCTGACCTCATGATCTGCCCACCTCGGCCACCCAAAGTGCTGGGATTACAGGCGTGAGCCACCACACCTGGCAAGTGATTCCTGCAGCCATCATTTTATGTAAGTATAGTCAGAACAAATGCTGTTCTTTATTATTTTTTTTTTTTTTGAGACAGGTCTTGCTCTGTCACCTAGGCTGAAGTGCAGTGGTGAGATCATGACTCTCGGCAGCCTCAAACTCTTGGGCTCAAGGAATCTTCCTGCCTCAGCCTCTGGAGTAGCTGGGACCACAGGGACTCACAACTGCACCTGGCTAATTTTTCTATCTTTTTGTGGAGACAGGAATCTGGCTGTGTTGCCTAAGCTGATATTAAACTCCTGGATTCAAGTGATCCTCTGTTCTCAGCCTCCCAAAATGCTTCAATTAAAGGCGTGATCTAAAATGTTTTTCTTGACTGAAGCTCACAAGATGACCACAGAACATTTATTACCAACACACTCTGCAACAACAGCAATGCAAAATATCCTATTTATAGTCTTATGCTTCCAAGGAAGTCTCCTATCTCTGCTACAATAATTCACCCACAGAGAGTAACTCATCTCTCTGAACACCTTACATCAGGCCAAAGAAACGGTGGATTCACCCTGCTTGAGTTCTGGGAAGGGCCCAGTGGTGCATGCGTACATCAATGAAAACCTTTCTAGTCCAGAAAATTCTCACTGTTTCTCCATTATACACACAGACAAAAAAAAAAAAAAAAAAAAAAAGAAAAAAAGAAAGAAAAAGAAAACAACAACAACAAAATAAAATGAGAAAGTCATCAGGGCAAACTTAGCTGTGTGACTCTGACTACTTTACTTCTCATTAACTTGACAAAGATTATTCTCTACTAACTACAGGCTGCACTGTTGTTAATATGTTGTATTATATACTCCATCAACAAGCCATCAGAATAAAATTTTAGCTGGGATTTAATCAAAGAGACAGTAGTAAATTAGCATTAGCATTAGCTTCATAACTCTTGAAAGACCACAAATCAATTCACGATTATCTATATACATACATATGTAGTTTCATTAATTATGTTGTTATTTCTCCCTAATTCTTTAACATTCTATTTTGACTGTGCAAGCCCAAAACACAGATCTGAATGTTTTAATGCCATATCAAACATACACTTTAATTATTTGTTTTTAACCATGTTTTCCATCAACAGAAAAAACCAGGTATTGTATACATCCTTTCTAGCTCAGCCTAC